GCCGGGACCTGGAATGGGAGGGGCTGTAACTCGTGTGCCTTTCAAACCATTTCCCTTATCCTCCCTCGTAGACATGGCCTCCATCCTAATCCCTCTGCTCTTGGGGCTGCTGCTGCTTCTGGTAGCCGGAGTGGTGTTCTGGTACAAGTGGCGAGTCCGGGGGTGAGTGATAAGGGGTCTGGGAAATTCTCATCATCACCACCCTGGCCTTACCCTGAGAGACCCCTGACCCCTGTACCTCTGCCCGTCCCCAGGGCGAAGGGCTTCCAGCACCAGCGGATGACCAATGGGGCCATGAACGTGGAGATCGGGAATCCCACCTATAAGATGTACGAAGGCGGGGAGCCTGATGATGTAGGGGGCCTGCTGGACGCTGACTTTGCCCTGGACCCTGACAAGGTGGGCTGGGAAGACAAAGGAGGCGGCTTCCAGGGCAGGGAAGTTGGTGGATGGGGTGTCTAAGGGTTTTGAGTTGGACGATGGAACAGAGGTGGGGGGTGGGGTTCCAAGGCCATGGAGCCCAGCCTCTGAGTCCCACCTGAACCCTCTATCACCTTGCAGCCCACCAACTTCACCAACCCCGTATACGCCACACTCTACATGGGTGGTCACGGCAGCCGCCACTCCCTGGCCAGCACGGATGAGAAGCGAGAACTCCTGGGCCGGGGCCCTGAGGACGAGATAGGGGACCCTTTGGCATAGGCCCCTGCCCCATTGGACTTCCCCTAGAGAGCCTCCTGCCCCCTGCCAGAGAAGTCCTTCAGTGAGCCCCCTCCTGCCCAGCCAGCCCTCCCCGGCCCTGCCGGGATGTATAAATGTAAAAATGAAGGAATTACTTTTTATATGTGAGTGAGCAAGCGAGCAAGCGAGCACAGTATTATCTCTCTCCATTCTCCTTCCTGCCCGCTCCTCGGCACCCCCCATGCTGCCTTCAGGGAGGGGGGACATGGGAGGCTCTGGGGGCTCCTTTGGCTTACAGGTATGGGGGGCCCCTGCCTCCCACCTTCCCACCAAAACGCACCCCCACTTGAAGAGCTGGTTGTGCCACCTCCCCCTCCCTGTACAAGACACTTTGTCAGGGCTCTCCCCTTAGTTCGCCCCCACCCCTGCTCCCTGAGGGCTGCTTCTGGGGAGCAGAGTCCTGTGCTGCCCCTGTCTGGAAGATTTGGCTCTGGCTGAGGTAGCAAAGAAAGGATGGAGTTTTTTACTTCTCGGGGTGTCCATCTCATGCCCCGGCCCCCATTCTAGGGGCACCTTCGACATGGCCACACTCAGTACCTTTCCCAGACAGGCATCCCCTCTCCAGTGCTCCCAGCGTTGCCCCCAGGGCTGGAGACTTTCTTTGGTAAACAGCACCCCAGCTTCCCCTCCCCCCTGGGGAAGAGGTGGGGCACACCAAGGAAGGGCAAAACGGGCAGCCCCGCTTTGGGGATACGAAGGTTTTAATAATTTTTGCTGAATTCCTTTACAACTAAATAACACAGATATTGTTATAAATAAAATTGTAAAAAAAAAAGAAAAAGAAAAAGAAAAACACTTGTGTCTACCTTTGAGTGGGAGACTCTGGGAGCTGGACTGTACTTGCCTGCTTCAGCCACCAGAGGGAGCCCTGCTCCGTGCTGGAGGTAGGCTTGAGCGTTGATCTGGAGAGCCCCTCTCCCCAAAGCTCTCTCCCTCTCATCTCGCGTTGGCAGAAGAGGGTAGCAGCAGACTTGACAAGAAAGCTCTGTTTCTCCTGGGTGTGTGACCTCGGGCAGGTGACTTCACCTCTCTGGATCTTGATTCCCTCTGGCTCTAAGATACTAACTCCAAGACCTGTTTCTCTGCATTGTTGCTTTGCTGGGATACCACCACCACCCCTACCAAAATTATCTCCCACAGCAAGAAATCTCGCCATGAGAAATGAATACACTGGGTTTGTGAAGGGATTTCTAATCCTCCAGGGTGGTCCCATACAGCTATCTCTGCCTGATGTTTTTAAAGCACTAACATCTCACATTTCATAAAGACGAATTAATCAGATGCTAAGAGTAGAACCATGGATTCAGGAGGAAGGAGGGCCCTGGAGTGAAACACAGCAGAGAAAACCAGTTTGCCTGGTCCTGCAGCTATCAACAGACCCAGTTCACTAATCATTTTAGACATCCCAGGGATGGACAGGGAAGGACAGCTACAAGCAAAGGTATCCCAGGTATACTTTAAACCCTGCCCAGAGAAGGGAACTTCTTGAAGAAGGTCACACAGCTTTACGCTGACAGAGGGTTTGAGCCCCACTGTCCCTTCAACAGAAAAACGAGCTTAGAGAGGGCAGCGGGAGCACTGCCTCACATCCCCTTTCCTCCCTAGTTCAGGCACCTTCCCTCTCACCCCCTGAAGTCCCACCTCCAAGCCAGCTCTTAGATCCTCCGCTGCCTCGGTTCTCCCCAACGCCGGGACTGAAAGACCCTACTGACAGAAAGGGGGAGTCGATTATTGAGAGGGAGGCTTGTGTACCCATCTGTCCACCAGGTGGCGCATGCGCCCCTGCAGCGCTGCTGCTCCTGAAGCCCAGCACAGCCCGCTCCCCAACGTGCACTAATTATGCACCTGCGGGCGGACCCCAGCCCAGCCTCTCACTTTCTTCCCTCGGGCTATTCCGCCACAACCCTTCCACCCACAGCCAGTCGGCTCCTCTCCCTCCCCCAGCGCCTGCCTATTCCCCCACCACACTACCGCCAGCCCCACCCCCTCACTCTCCCTCTGCCAGCCGTGCATCTGGCGCCCCCGGGGAGCCACTGATTCTCTGCCTGTCGCCTCAAGATCCTGGGCAAAACGAGAGGGGCCCCCAGCTGCGGCTTGGAATGCACACGCCTCCAGTCAGCATCCTCTCTCTGCCCTCCAGGAACAGCCAGGAGAGGGTCTACCAGGAGTCAGTCTTCGAAAACTCCCCACTTGGCAAGAATGACAGAGGAGGCCTAAAACAGAGATGGAGAAGGGACGGGTAGAACCAGGGGCAGAGGCGATATAGACAGAAAGAAATAAGAGATACAAAGACGAGAGATACAGGGACAGACAAGACAGGGGAAGTGGAATGTAGGTGTGGGTGTGTGTGTGTGTGTGGCTGGAGAGAGAAGGGGGTGACCTGAGATGGTAGCAAAAGGAGGAGAGATGGGGTGGGCGGGGCTCCAGATGATCAAGACCCTAGTGATGAGCATCTGTCCTGGGCACCTGAGGGCCGGGGAGGGGGGCACTGCCCCCACCCACTCCTGCAGCAGCCTATGGGCTCAGGACCTGGGTGGAGCCTTGACTTGCAGGGCCTGCCACTCCTGCCCCTTCCTGCCTTTCTCCTCTCTGCCCCACTTGCACTCAGGTTCCTGCCTCCCGACGACTGTCTGTCTTTGCTTCATCTTCCCTACATCCCTGATCCTTTGTGTGCACCCCAGTCGCCTCCCTCTATCTATCTATCTGTACACGCCTGGGCTTGCCTTTTGGGCTGCCGGTGCCAGCATACACCTGTGTGTGTGTCCATCTCTGTCTGGAGGTTTGCCCCTCTGCCCAGGCAAGGAAGCAGGGTGGGCTCTGAGTACCTGGTTGGGTGTACTTGTCTCGGGGTGCAACTGTGCATTTGTCTGTCTCTATGTGTACTCCTGTGTGTGTGTGAATCAAGTGTGTCCATCTGTGTGTCAGTGTACCTCTAGTGTGTGCTGGTCTCTGTGAATGTGTTTCCCTCTGCTCACCTCTACAGTAGGGTCCACCTCTGAAGGCATCTGTGTGCACACCTGGGGGGCGGTGTGGGTGTCAGGGTGGGCGCCTGTCTCTCTGTCTCAGCTTGCTCCTGTCTCTCTGTCCCTATCTCTACCTGTCTAGGTGTCAGTCATACTGCCACCTCAGCCACAGCCTCAGTGCATAGCAACAGCTGACAGCTGAGGACTCCCTGGGCAGGGGGAGAGAGCGAGAGACAGAGAGAGAGGTGAGAGAGAGAGAGAGAGAGAGAGAGAGAGACTGACTGGGGGGGAGGAGGGAGCCGTGAAGAAACAGCCAAGAGGATAAGGACAGAGAGGAAGCTGGGGACAGAGACAAGGACAGAGACAGAGGAGGAAGGGGACCAGGGTGGAGAGGAGTTCCTGGTGAAAGATGGGACACCGAGAGGGAAGGGATAGACATTGCACCAATAGGCCGGGCCAGGCGGCTCTGAGAGGGACTTCCTGCCCAACCCCCACGCAGGGACGCTCCAGGACACGCGGGGTGGGGGTCGACGATTGGGGGCGAGGGGCAAAGGTGAACGGCCAGGCTAGGAGAGGAGTCCTGAGACCGTGGAGGTGGCCCGGGGGCAGGGGTGCGTGCGGCGGGCGCCGTTTGTCAGCCCTATTGACAGACGTGATGGGGTTTCCGTCCGTGATCAATGATTCTCATCTCCCGGCCGAATGAGCCGCGGGGCGCCCATCCATCCCCGTCAGCGTTGCGCGGCGGCAGACGCCCGAGGCTCCACCCGCCTTCACCTCGGCCGCGACCCCGGTCCTGCTCCGGGGCCCACGTTGGCCTGGAGCATCGAGGGGCCCTGGCCGCGCGGGGCCCTTCGGGGACCCGGTCCCGGGGCTCGAGCCCCACGCCCTGCCCCTTCCTCCGCGTCGGGGCGCGTACCCGGCCTCAGGCTCGCGGCCCCTGGTCCCGCCGCCCTCTCCACTTCACACCTGGGCCGGGGGCGTGTCCGGGGCGGGACGGGGTGAAAGTCACCTTCGGCGCCCCCGCCGGGCGGGAGGGGGCGCGCAGGGCGCGGCCGGGATTGGAGCGCCGCGGAGCCCCGCCCCCCCGCCGCCCGCCGCGAGTCCGACCCAACTTTCTCCCCCGCCCGCGCCCCGCCCCCAGCGCCGCGCTCGCTCCGCGCGCTCGGCCCGCCCGCCTGGCCGCCACTCCGCGGCTCCCGCAGCCACCCCCGGCGCGCCAGCCCGGAGCCCCTGCCCTCGGCCAGGCGGCGGCCTTTCCCCGGGCCCACCCACCCTCCCCGCTCGCCGCCTGGGAAGATGCGGCTGCTCCCGGAATGGCTTCTCTTGCTCTTTGGCCCGTGGCTCCTGAAGAAGGTAAGGGCAGCAGGGCTGCAGCGCGAGCTCGGGGGTCCGGGATGCAAAGGTCCCAGAGTGCGAGGGGCTCCGTGAACCCTCGCCGTCCCCAGCCCTGAGCATCCCAACTTTGCGCGGCGTGGGGGACGCCGCACACGGACTCCCCGCTCCGGGACAGGCGCTCTCCCCGCGCAAGTTGGCTGAGGGGCTGGGGCTGGGGCAGGGGCAGGGGCAGGGATGGGGGCCCGACTCGGATCTGGCTCCGGGAGCGGCGGGGGAGGGGACGAAACCAGACCTGCGAGTGCGCCAGACGGAGCGGGAGTGCGAGACAGACAGACAAGCCAGCAGGGTGTCAGCCTCGCCGCCTTGCCGCGCCAACCTCGCTCGCCACCCTTGCTGTCTGTCCTTCCATCCCTCCATTCACACATTCGCATTTCTCTTCTCTGCACTTGTTACCATGCCAGGTGGGCACTGTGTTCCGAACACACACCGCCCGAACACGCGCGCGCACACTCGGACGCACACAGATGCGGCCGAACTGGGCTACGATCCCCCATCGCATTTCCCGCGGAGTCACGGGCTCCCCTGCACAACCTCACAGACACACCCCTCTCCGGCGCCGGCCGATAGCGGGTAGGGGCTGTCTGGAAGGGGAGCCTCTCCTCCCTTCCCCTCCGCGTCCCCACCTCCTTCGCCTGACCCTTTCCTGGAGGATCCCGGGCGAGGACCCAGAGGCTAAGGGGCCCAGACTTGATCTGCCTCTCTCTTGACTCGGAGGCTTCAACTCCTGTACATGGTGTGCTCACTTGTGCTGGTGTAATGTGTGGGGCAGTGTGTGTTCACCTGTGTACACGTATGTGTCCGGGGCAGCCAGGCTTGAGGGTCTAGTGCTGGGGGCCAAGGTGCGCGTGTGCGCGTGTGGGCTGGTGTGGTGTGTGGTGTTGGCTCTGAGGGGTGAGTGCAAGTGCCTACTGCACAGTGCAGCCGTCTGTGCCCGGCTGTGTGTCCCTCCGAGGGACCTAGGCCCTGGCCCTCTGTCTCCTTCAGCCAGCTCCCCTGGCTGTGGCTTCCCTGTTCCCTGCGCCCCGACTGTGACCTAGCCAGTCTGGGGGCAGGCAGGCGGCTTCCTAAACACCTACTCCCTGCACTCGCCCTACAGCCCCTGAAGAGTCTGGAAGGGGTGTAGCTCTGCCCCTCATGCTTCGACCCACACACACCTGCTCAGCCAAATCACACTTAGCTGCTCCAGCAGGGCAGGGGTGCCCAGTGAAGCTGGCAATTCAACTCCCTGATTTTCTGAAACCAGCCTGATGACCTTGAGGGGCTGGAAGATGGGCTGAGGAGCCCCCGCCCCAGAAACTGCTTCCACTAGCTGGAACTTCTTTTGTACTTGCTGCCCAGCTCTGCCCTTAGAGGACTGCAAGGAGGTCTGTGCCCCGTAACCCGCTGTTTGTGAGGGCTCGGGGGAGCAGAAGGAGGAATGGCACTCCCCTGCCCCTTCCTGTTTCCTTCTGCTCTCCTCACCACTCTCCCCATCACATACGCTCCCCTGTGGACAGATCTGGTTTAATTTCCTTTGCCCCCTGAAGGGGAATGAAACATCTGGTAGAGACTTGAGGGAGCACAAGCGTGAGGATGGGGATCTAGCTGAGTGTGCGAGAGCTGCAGCCCTGGGTCTCCCTGCAGGAGTCGGTGGGGGAGTGTGCAGCTGCCATTTAGTCCAGCTCATGCGCGTGTGAGAAGGGGTTTACCTGTGTGCATGGGCTGTGGGTGTGAGGAAGTGTACAACTGTGTGGGGGGAGTGTCTGTAAAAAAGTGTGTGTCAGGGTATCCGTGTACTTGTGTGCACCTGTGAGTGTGACCTGTGCACACGTGTGTACCCCGAGGTGGGGCTCCAGTGCACCTGTGTGCTGCAGCCCCCATGTGAGTCTCCGAGGTCTGTGATTGTGTGTCAGTGTGTTTGTGGTTTTGAGTGCACTCAAGTGTGGATATTGGGCTATAAGCCTCAGGATGCGTGCGTGTGTCTGAGCATGTGTGTGTGTGTGTGTGTGTGTGTTGAGGGCTGCCTCAGTGCCAGGGCTGGCAGGGGGTGGACACTGGGTAAGAGGCTGATGGGGAGCAGTTCACAAGGGCAGCGCTTTGGAAACCCTCGCTGTCCCCATAACAACCCTGCCTTCCCCACCCTGTTCACCGGCCCCCCTGCCAGGAGCTCTTTCTCCCCCCTCTACGCTGCAGGATCCTGGTCTCCTCTCAAGACTTGGGACCCCTGGCTTCCGTGGACCCTGGGGCCCTGCCTCCGGCCGGGCCAGGTCTTCCTCGGGGTCTTCCTGACGCCGCCAGTCTCTTCGACTCTTTCTCGCCCTCTCCGTCTTCCCCGCTCCTTGCCAAAGCATCTGCCTGCTGGGAGAAGCAGCAGGCGATCAATAGTTACTAATCACTAATCACTAATTACTAATTAGCTGGGGGAGGGCAAGGGTGGGGCCCAGTGGGACCTTCCAGCTCCATGTTGCCTGGGGGAAGGATTAGGCCCACAAGAGCCTCAATCCCCTGGCCAGCCAGACTCAGCCGCTCACCCAGCTTACTCCTCCGGCCTCCGTAACCCTGTCTAGCCCCCACCTAATCTCTGGCTGGGCTACTCAGGCACGTGCAGCCTGGGATGGGGCCCAGGGATGTTGGTAGGGATTTGGGGGTAATCGGTGCGCAGGTGGGCTAGGGGCACAGGAGGGGGCGGTCACTGCGACAACTCCGTTGGGCCGAAGGCTGTATGGGAGAGGCACCCACTGGAGAAAACCTAGAGTGTCCGCGGGTGAGAGCCAGGGAGGAGCCAGCGATCCAGGACCGGGTGACTGAGATGGGAGGCATCTGAGGGACAGAAGCAAGGTGAAAAAGGGTCCCCAGGGTCAGAGACAGGATCGCTGGGAAGGGGCGAGATAACATAGAAAGAGACCAGGTGAGTGAAGGGGGCATCGCAGGGGTCAGAGACAAGTAAGTCCTTGGCAAGGAGATGGGGAACTCCGGACAGAGCCCGCAACTTCACCTGGGTGGGGTCCTGGAGGGGGACAGATTACAGAGAAAGGGCAGGGTCAGGTGGGGGGCGGTGAGGGTCCCAGGGCTCAGGCGATTCAGGGGCGCAGCGGGGAGTTCCCGGGCGAGGGGTGGAAATGAGCTGTGGGGTGGGGACGGAGAGCAGGGAATGCAGCCTCCAGCGCTGGAAATTGGCGAGTCTCCCCCCTCTCCCTCACCTACCCCTCCTCCATCTCCACCCCGCCCACTCCCCCTCCGGCTTCAGCTTCGGGAAATTACATCCCCGCTCTGCGGCTCCCGCCTGCCCCCACCCCACCGCGCCCCGGAGCCCGCGCCTTTATAGGCACATTTATTGCAATAATAAAGTGAGGCGCGGGGCGGGGGCGGGGGGCGCTGTTCCCGGGGGGACCGCGCCGGCTCTAGGAAGCAGGGAAATAAAATAAAATAAAATAAAATCAAAATTCAGATAACGGTGAGCCTTGCGCTGCAGGCCGAGAGCAGGCGGGCAGGCGGGGCTGAGGGGGAGGTGGTAGCCGGCCCAAGGGCAGAGCTGGCCCCACCAGCGGACCCGCCCCCTCACACTCTAACTCGGTCGGGAGGGAGGTGTCTGCACCTCCACCTGCCTGTCCCCAGCCCCAGCCCAGTCCTTCCCTTCGGCCTTTTCGTCTGACTTGTCTCCCACACCTGTCCTCAGCTCCTGTCTCCGTCCCTTTTGTCCCCTCCCTTACTTGTCCCGGGTTTCTCGTTCCAGTCCCCATTCATATTCCCCATCCCCACCCCCACCCCTGGGTGCCTCAGCGTCCCCGTCTCTGCCCAAGGACCGTCCCCGCCCGCCCCCAGTTCTGTGCCCACCCGCACCCCATCCCCCAACCCCTGTCCCTTCCTCATTCCTGCCTGTCCCCGGTGCCCAGCCCTCACCCACCATCCCTGTCCTCCCCGTCCTCATTTTGGTTCCCATCCCATTCTGTCCCGTCTCCTTTCGCTGCTCGCTACCCCACCGACATCTCTGTCTCTGCCCAGTGCCTGTCCACCATTTCTGATCTCCTCCCCGTCCCTGCTCCCTGCTCCATCCTCCTCTGTGCACCCAGTACCCCTGCCTTCCAGGTCAACACTCCCAGTCCCCCTCCATTTCCGTCCCAGCCCTCACCCTGGCCTGGCCTGGCCTGGCCTTGCCTGTCCACCCCACTTCTGTCCTCACTCTGGGCTCCGTCCCTCGTTCCAGCCAGACCCCAGCTACTCCACCCGGCCCTGACTGCAGTGCCCCTGCCTATTGCTGTGTGCAAGGGCTCAGGACACTCTTCCCTCCTCGTCCCCAACCCAGGCTGGAGCACTGTGCCCTCCCCCACCACAGGGTGCCTCTCCTCCCCCGCAGGAATCTTGAACAGCCCCGCCTGACCCACACAGCAGGAGAGGAGCCCAGACCAGTCTGGAGGCCCCGGGAGGTGCGCCCTGCAATGCGGCTGGGGGGCCGACAGTCTGATCCTCCCCCCATTCCTAGCGGTCCCATCCCAAAACAGCACCCCCCCTCTCGGCAGAGTTTGTTCAGCAGCAAGAGGCAGCCTGGACTCCCCTCCAGTGCGTGGGCTTGCTGCCTTGGGGGCAAAGCGCTCCTGGCTCTGCTCCCACCCTGCTTGGGCCTGGAGGTGCTTGGTGAAGCGCACCCCCCACCCACCCCTCATCCCCGTCTGCCACGGAGCACCTCCCCCCGCCCCCTCCCCACTGCAGCCGGCAGCCTGGCTAGCCTCTCCCCTCTGCAAATGTCACCGCACTCAATTAGCTTAATTAAACCAGCTCTGGGTGGAGAAGGACCCCTCGGACAACACCCTGCTCTCCTGTTGGTCCTAGAAGGTGGGGGTGGGCAGTACCAAGGACTCTGGGCCAAGAGGGGCTCCCCTGTCACCCTGCTTTCCCCTCACTTCCACCCCCACCTGCAGTCGGAGAGAGACAGACAATCTGAGAGAGGGAAAGACTCACAGTTAGAGACAGAAACGGGGAGGAACACAGACTCGTAAAAGGAAAATTGGAGACGGAATGAGGAAGAGACCCAGAGACAAAGAGGGAGATGGAAGAGAGGGACAGAGAAGCAGTGCGAGGAGGGCCGGGGAGGGAGCGGGGGCGGCGGGCAAGGGAGCCAGAGGGGGATTCGATTTTATTTTGTTCCGTGTTCCCATTTCTCGGCTCGTTTCCTCGCAGGCTCTCGCCCCTCTCTGTCCGAGCTCCCACCCCACTGCGAGGTCGCTTTGGCTGCCCCCCAACTCTTTCCTCTTGTCTTGGCTGTCTCCTGTGGGCCAGTGGGGTGGGGGTGCCCAAAGCCCCGGGATCTGCCAGGACCAGAGAAGCACAGACAGCAATTTGTCTGGGATCAGAGGCAAACACCTGGCACCCCCACTGCCCAGCCAAACCTGCTTCCCTGGCCCAGCCCCTGCCTGGGAGCAGTTGCTAGACAGAATCAGCCTCCACGGTTCCTAGGCAGGGTGCAGGACTTTGGGTGCTGCTGGGGTATTCTTGGGGCAGGGTGGCTCAGCGGCATTTGGGGTCTGCAGCAGCATGCTTCAGGGACTGATGGAAGTCCCTGGAAAATGCAGTGGTTCGGCCCAGAGGGGTGAGGAGATGAGGTGTCAGAGTTCAAATGGGCCTCCCCCAGCCCCACCCTTCCACTTTCCCTCGGAGCTTCACGCACTCCTTCCTCCAAAGCCCTTCCTGGGGCGCCAGCTCTGCCCTCTGCAAGCCCACTTCCTGGAGCCTTGGTCCTTCCTTTTGGCAGGCCCTTCCCCCTCCTGCTGTGACCTAGGACCCCTCCCCCCCAGCCCCTCTCAGGCCCACCCTCAGGGTGTTAGCTGCCAGCTCAAGCACGTCTGTCTGAGTCAATCACTCATGCGGCCCCCGCACCCCTCACCTGAGCTGGGAGGAGGTATGGATGGGAGGAGGACTGAGGGGGGCGATAAATATGTATGATGATCCGGTGGCGGCTGCATTAATAACCCAGGATCGCAGCGCTGCAGGGATGGGGACCAGGCGGTGGAGATTCTAGCCCAGCAGCTTGACTCTGCCATCCCTGTCCCTGGTGGACGAGTGGTGTATACACATGGGTGTACACAACCCAGAGGGGGACACCGGTGCTGTCAGGGCTCTTCACCTACCCAGGGCTCAGTCAGCAGGCTGCTTGCAGACAGCTCACACACATACGGCCCCTCCTAGGGGGCCAATGAGAGAGGGTCGTTCCATCGTTATGGATGTACTGACACATACCCTTCAGGAGGAGCTGGACACAGGGACACAGGATGCCAGGAACTCACACAGGAAAAATGACACACCCAGAGAATCACACACAGCCAACGCGGGCATACAACTAATACCAACCACACAGATGCAACTACCACCAACTGATACACAGCTTCACTCAGATTCACACACACACACACACACACACACACACACACACACACACACACACACAGCCAACCCAGGCCCGCATGCAACGCAGGCACACATTCTGCCCTGGCATGCACACAGACTGACACAGCCGGCAGGCAGCTGCGCACAATCACACACATCCTCCACAGACTGATACACATGGGCACAGACAGACACACGGGCACATGCAGTCACCTGGGCCACATGCACAACCACCAGCACAGTCACCCTGGGCCGACATACACTCATCACCATAGCTGCACACACACAATGACTCCAGGTAGACAGACACCCAATACAGCCATCCTGGGCTAACAGAGTCACAACCGCCCCAAAGTGACACAGGCAGGGCGCCCTCCCCCCACTCCGGATCCACAGGCAGTAAAGGCCACCCTAACAGCCACAGCTAGCACAGTCTGACTGACACACTCTGACAAGCACAGCTTCTCTCCCTCCCAGTCCCTTGCTGGAGCAGCATCTCCATATTTCTTCCTCTAGCTCTGACCGCCTGTCTCCTTCACTCCCGGCCACCCCTGCACCCCCACCCCCAGATAATTGATAGCCTGGGCCTGGCCCCGCTGCTCCTGCCTCTCTATCTATCTTGTACTCTCAGCCTGTGCTGTCTCCCAGATCGCCACCACCTGAGACACGAGGAGGAGACGGGTGGGGGTGAGCTAGGGCGGCTCCTCCTGCCACCTCCGAGCCCAGGGAAGAACCACCAGGCAGCCTCCCCCACGGAGCAGGAACACTGAGGCGAGGAGGAGAATGAGGAAGAGTACCCCAGTACCCCCCAAGCCTTAACCCGTAGCTCCCAGACTCTCTGCTGCTGTCCTCAGTTCTACCAGTTTCCCACGGTCCTCCCCATAAAGGAGTAGAAGATGAGGCCCAGGTGGGGGCTGTGATCTGTCTCTGCAGGGCCACCTGGAGGTCTTCACCTCTTTCTTAATGCTGGATGTTGACAGGGGCCATGGCCTCACTTGCCTGAGTCCAACTCCTCCCTGGCCCATTGCTCTGAACCAGTGATTTTCAACGCACGTGCCACGGCACACTGGCATGTCCAAGAATTTTAAAAATAGGCGCCACCTGGCTATTCAGTCAGGGGCACTGACGTCTTTTTCCTTAGGTTGTCAAATTAAAAATGGCAACAGCCAACACAACAGCCATCTGCTGTAATAGCAAAATTATACCTATTTTGGGGGGTCAGATTGGCAAAAAATATATATGTTTTGGTGTGCCACAGAATTTAAGTAATTAGTTTATATGTACGAGAAGAAAAATGTTGAAAAACTGCTGCCCTGAACCAACCAGGCTCCAGGCTGGAGGAGTCGGAGGGCCAGTCCCCCTATTCAAGCCCACACTGGCTTGGGCTTTCTCAGCTGCACTGGCGAACATAAGGATCCTCAGTGTCATTTTACAGGTGCAGAAACTGAGGCCTAGGTAGGTGAAGTGACTTTGGCCGAGACCACAGCGCTTTAAGGTCTGCGGGTCTACTCCAATGCACCACTCGCTGAGGGCTGACCGATTCCATTTGGTCTCCTAGTGGCTGTGGGAAGGGGCTGGCGTGGGTAAAGCCCTGGTATGGTGGCCAGGGACAACTCCAGCGCCCCCCCCCTTTTTTTTCATCTTTCTTTGCCCACAGGCCGTCAGTGCCCAGATACCGGAGTCCGGGAGGCCGCAGTACTTGGAGCTGCCCTCCCCTGCGGCCGAAGGGGGCGTCCCTGGCCCACGGCTCCAGGCGGCGAAGTCTTCCCACGGCCTGGGCACCGCCCGCGCCTGGAGCTGGGCCTGGCCGACTAACCACACCGGGGCGCTGTCCCGGGTAGGGGCTGCGGGGGCGCTACCCGTGCAGCGCACCAAGAGAAAGCCGTCTATCAAAGCGGCCCGCGCCAAGAAGATCTTTGGCTGGGGGGACTTCTACTTCCGGGTGCACACCCTCAAATTCTCACTGCTGGTGACCGGCAAGATCGTGGACCACGTGAATGGGACTTTCAGCGTGTACTTCCGCCACAATTCGTCCAGCCTGGGAAACCTCAGTGTTAGTATCGTGCCGCCCTCCAAACGTGTGGAGTTCGGCGGCCTGTGGCTGCCGAGCCACGCCCCCCACCCTCTGCAGTCCACGCTGGCCTTGGAAGGGGTCCTCCCTGGGCTGGGGCCCCCGCTGGGGCTCACGGCCGCAGGGGCGGGGTTAGGAGGCACCCTGGGCGGCGCTCTGCCCGGCCCGCTTGGGGGCGCGCTGGGAGTGCCCGGGGCCAAAGAGTCCCGCGCTTTCAATTGTCACGTGGAGTATGAGAAGACGAACCGCGCGCGCAAGCACCGCCCGTGCCTGTACGACCCATCGCAGGTGTGCTTCACCGAGCACACGCAGAGTCAGGCGGCCTGGCTCTGTGCCAAGCCCTTCAAAGTCATTTGCATCTTCGTCTCTTTCCTCAGCTTTGACTACAAACTGGTGCAGAAGGTGTGCCCAGACTACAACTTCCAGAGCGAGCACCCCTACTTCGGATAGTGCACTTTGCCCTCGCCCCAGCCCTGAGCTTCCCCCCAAATCCCACCTCCCTAAGTGAGACTCCCCCCTGTGCCCCGAAACTTGTGGCCGCGTCCACCCTTCATTCTGGGAGCGGAGAGGAACAGCCCTTCCGGGGACTGTCCGCGGGCGTGGGTCCCTTTGTCCTTACGGGGAGTGCCTTTGCGGCCCCCTCAGCTACACCGCAAAGTGGAGGAACTAGAGCGCAGCCCCAGAATAGGTGGTCCCCAGTGTCCTTTATGTCCACGTTGGGTCCCCTTTATGCCCCCGGCGCTGGGTTGGACACTCCCTTTGCCCGCAGCTTTAAGAACGCCTGGCCTGCCACCCTCACCCCATCCCGACTTTCTCACCCCCAGGCTCTCGTTCTCCTGCTCCACCCTGTCCCCACGTAAAGACTGTAAAGACGTGTAAGCCGCGGCCTGTCCCCATTCCCTTCTGCCTGCCATATGCCTGTTCCTCTTTCCCCCAAACCCTATTTAGGGTAGTGGAAGCAGACTCCCGGGCACAGGCGATGGCTCCGGCCCCTGCCCTATGCCTGTCTTCCTCCGGTCCCTGCAGTCCTGCTGCACCTGCCCCTTTCCGGCTGCCTCCTCTCGGTGGTATTTTTTTTTTTTCTACTCCAAAACAGATGGGAAAGGGAACAAAAAATAAAGTGAAATCCAATACGAGTCTGTGTGAGACCTTTGTAAGGTAGCGGGGGAAAGTGTGGATTTCTATGTCTGGCAGAGACCCGGTCAGGGCCTTCTCATCCGGTGGCTCATAGGGAAACTGAGGCAAATGTTGATGGAGCTAGCACCTCGGAGGTCATCCAAAACCAGATCAGATAGACATGAGGGCGACCCTTGGGTAGGAGCCCTCCATGAGGTGGGATTTTCCTCCCAAAGGTGGGCAGAGTGAAAGTGCAGCAGATAGGATGGGGATTAAATTAAACTTGAGAGGGGACCATCAGTGGGCTATTTGGGACCATTTGGGGAGGAGGTATAAAGGCCTTGAATTCCCATTTAAGGAGATGTAGGGACATCACAAGCAGAGCGCTGACAACCTGCTAAGCTCTGCGGGGCTGTCCGGAGGCGGCAGGTGGGGGAGGGGGAACGGTGTTGCGGCATCTGGAGTCATCGATCTTCCTTTTCCTTCCTAATTTCGTGGGCGCTGAGTTTGCAGACGGATGAGGGAGAGAGGGAGTGAAGCCTGAGAAGAGGGGGTGGGGGGAGGGACAAGAGAGTTTGGAAAGCCGGGCTTCGTCGCCGCTGCAAGCCTCCGGCAAACGAGGCCCCCTTCAGCCAGCTGCCCACCCTCCCCACCCCCGCCTCCAGCTCACTCCAGCATTCGCGGCTGCTAATTTTAACCGCCCCCAACCCTGGCCCGGGCGTTAATTGGCTGCGGCTTCATTAGCAGTTCTCAAACTCAGCCGCCCCCTTCCCTCGGGACCCCTGACCCGGACTAGGGAGGGGGGTACAGACAAGCTCTCTCGGCGCACCGAACGGCGCCTTGTCTTCAGCCCTCCTTCATTTTTAGTCCTGGGTCAAAGTACCGACGCAGAGAGAGCCCTGGTCTTCAGGGCATTGCCCACGGGCTCCAGCGGGAAATTGAGTCAAAGGTGAGTGTGACCCAGACATGCCTGGAAGTGAAAAGTCAGTAAGGAGAAAATAAATATCTGATGGATAGATGCAGGGATGGATGGAGGGATGGAGAGGTGAATGGATGAATAATAGGATCAACTGAAAGGAGGAGAGAAGTGGGAAGGGGTTCTGGGTCAGAGCCTGGAGGAAGGAGAAGAACGCAGTGGACTCCTAACACCAGGCCTATTGCTGGAAAGGCCTGAGAACAGGTCGGGGAGTGTGCGGAGTGGGGGAGGTTAGAGCCGAGGGAGAACTGATGAGGCCTGGTATGAGAGTCAAGTGGGAATGCTTAGAATTAGCCAGTTCACCCATCTGGGCCTTAGTTTCCTCACTTGTAAAGCAATAATAAAAGAGCGTGAATAAGATGAGATTTTCGCATGTGAACTTGCTTCGTGATGGATTGTCCTCTCCTCTTCCTCACAAACCTGCTTCCTCCAAGACCATCCTTCTCCTCCTGCAACCACCCTCTTCTTCTGACCTGCGGGAGCAGAGTGAGGTGCCCCTGCCTATAACTGTACAAGGTCTATTTTGTTACCTGTTCACTCCTTCATGTCCCAGCAGTTAGTCATCTGCTCCTATCACCAAGGCTATGGCATGCTGGGCACAGAATAGGAGCTCAATTGAATGGATGAATAAATGAATTAATGAATGTGTAATATTGTTGTGTGAAGCAATGGTTCTCAAAATCACTGCTTATTCGAATCATGAGGAGAGGTTTTGTTGTGTTAGCATGAGTGGGTATATGCCCACTACTCTTTAAGATCCATTGAACTAGAACCTCTAAGGAGAGGCTCCACACTCGTATATTTATATTCTATTTCCCAGCTACTTCTGATGCCCAGGTTTGGGAACCTCCTGGAAGGGTCAATGAGTCCTGCCCGCAAAGGATGAGGCCAGAGAAAGTCAGTCTAAAAGCAAGATCGCTTCCTGTTCCAAGTACTTATAGCCCCAAGAAATCAAGGGAGCTCACTGATTGCTAGGGCGGCACGAGGTGAACAGTTAACAAAATTCAGCAAGTACAACGACCGCTTTGAGACATCCCGGGAGGAGGAAACAGCTGAGGGGAGGCAGGTTAATAGGTCAGAGGAGGGAGGGAGGACAATTCATTCCAGAGATGTTTACATAAAGTCTCATTTAAACCTCACCACATTATTTTTTTAAAGATTTTATTTATTTATTTTTAGAAAGGGGAAGGGAGGGAGAAAGGGAGAGAAACATGATGTGTGAGAGAAACGTCCAGTGGTTGCCTGAAGCATACCCCCAACTAGGCACCTGTCCAGAAACCCAGGCATGTGCCCCAACTAGGAATTGAATCTGCAACACTTTGATTTGCAGGTTGGCACTCAGTTCACTGAGGCACACCAGCGAGGGCCCCACCACACGTTATTTTATCATTGATTTACAAGTGAGGAAACTGAGGAAATTGCTAGTTAGTCCCAGAGCTGGAACTTGAACTCACATCTCTCACCCTTCCATACTAGGTACCTTCCAGGGCACCATGGCTCTCTAGCTTGTACAGGAATAGTTGTATTTTCCAGTGAGCCTAATAAATCTAGGTATTCAGTGGGCATCTAATAAATGGTTGTTGTCTGGACGACAGAGGGAAAAAAAAGAAAGAAAAAAGAAACCCTAAAGCTCTCCCGTACAGTGAGGAGAGGAGGCAGCAGTAGATCTCTTTCCTTTCAGGTTACAGTCTCTGACCCTGTGGCTACAGAAAAGAAGCGGAACAAAGGTGGAAAAAACTACTATTCCCAGAAAACCATAGTTGGGTCACCTCACGCATGCGTAGACTCCTACTCTGAAATCACGTGCCTTCTCCCGCTAGCTCTTGTTGCGCGTGCGCCCTCGGTTCAGCCTTTTTCCGACCCCTTGCTTTCTCAGGCTAGAGTTGGTGGCTCGACCTCCGGCGACTTCGGTTTAGGATGCTGCCCTTGTCTTTGTTCTGGGCAACTCGGGTAAGAGTGGGGCTCCGGAGCCTGGGTGACCAGTAGAAAGAAAACTGCCCTCCTACCGTAGTATCCATTCACAAACTACGGGGTTCTCCTGGCTTTTCCACGCACATGGTCTGGGCCCCCCGGAAGCGGACTCGCAACTAGGGGAATCCCCGAGACCTGTGGGTGTGCTCCCGAGACCCCCGGGTGTGCGCTATATAATTGGGGCCACTCCCCATTCCGATGATTACAAGCCCCAGGGCCATGTGACCGTTCATGGTATTGGGGGAGAGAACTGCATCGGATGCCCTGTACATCCTGTGCAGGCGAACAGCGGGGTTCCCAGCGTGGATAGGCAAGCTGAGTCTTTCCTCTAAGCTCTGAACCCTACAGATGATGCAACCGAGCCCCGCTGCTTGCATCAGGGGTCCCGCGTCTCTGTGAGATGGAAGGAGGTGGAAAAGGAGCAGGGCAGAGGCTTGGCTGTGGTTTTTGGCTTCCCTGCCATCAGAACCCCCACCCCTCTTGCCCTGGGACTGCTAAAGATCTACCCTGCTACCTCCATTGTTCTGAAAACCTCTAACTAAGCCTATTGTCTCAGTTTATGGAGGCCCTACCTAGGGAAGACCCTTTTGTTCCTGTGAGTGACAAGGTTTTGGAACCACTGGCTTCTAGAAGACAAACTTTAAACTTTGCCCTGTAGCTTTGCAGAGTGTTTCATGGGTTGAGGTGGAGAAAGATTCTGAGGTAAGGTGAATGGACCAACTCAGAATCACTCCCTGGACATTGATCTCAACCTTGGCTCTAGAACTGGCTTTTGGAGATGGGGGTGGTGAAAACTGGAACAGGCAGGCTGGACATCTGGCTGTTGGGTTTGAAGCCAGAGGGCCCGCTAAACATCACTGATGATTGTTGGGAGACTGTTTATCTGACGCTTTTATTTGACCCTGGCTTTTCCTCCCCTAGCCTCTGCAGAGATGTGGTCAGCTGGTCCGGATGACCATACGGTGCCAGCACAGTGAGGCAGCCCAGCCCCAGAGTGGAGAAGCAACCAGGGGCTGGACAGGCCAGGAGAGTCTGTCAGACAGTGACCCTGAGATGTGGGAGCTGCTGCAGAGGGAGAAGGACAGGCAGTGTCGCGGCCTGGAACTCATTGCCTCAGAGGTGGGGCCTGGGGAGAGGGGCCGAGGCTGGGGCCACCATGGGTGCAGGAAGTGACAGGTCATCTTACTGCTATTTCTACAGATCTCCCTTTCAGACTCAGGGTCTTCCTGCTGGGCCTTATCTCCCTCTCTTCTTACTGTCCTCTGAAGCAAAGGCAGAGCCATTCTGGGTTATGGGATGGGGGCATTAGCAAGCTTCCAGAGCCTTCCAGGGCCCCTACAGTCAAGTCTGGTCCCTCCTCCCTCCCAAGAGAAAAGAGGAGTCTGGAAGTACAGGTATGAGTGGAAGGCGGCCTTGCTGGGAACGCCTATCCTGGCAGCCGGGATTCTGAGGATGCCGCCTCTGGCTGTGCCCCAAGCCTTGCAAGGAACCCTGAGTGAACAGAGCTTTCTGTAGAGCTCAGCTCCTTGCAGCCCGCGACTCTGGCAGGGTGGGCTCTGGGGATCCAGGGAAAGGGGCTCAGTACCTTCTGACATTGCCCCCACCCCTCACCCCAGAACTTCTGCAGCCGAGCTGCGCTGGAGGCCCTGGGGTCCTGTCTGAACAACAAGTACTCGGAGGGTTACCCTGGCAAGAGGTGAGGGTGAGGCACCAGAGGGCTGGAGGGCAGCCTCAGGGATGCTGCTCCCGCCGGGGGGCACCTGCCTGCACTCTCCCACTGCATTTAGAGGAGTGGCCTTCCTGGTCCTTTGCCATTGGTCAAGGGACATGGTGGAAACCCTTCTCTGTGCCCTGATACGCCCCCTCCTGTGCAGATATTATGGGGGAGCAGAGGTAGTGGATGAAATCGAGCTGCTGTGTCAGCGCCGGGCCTTGGAGGCCTTTGACCTGGATCCTGCACAGTGGGGAGTCAATGTCCAGCCTTATTCGGGGTCCCCGGCTAATCTGGCTGCCTACACAGCCCTTCTGCAGCCTCACGACCGAATCATGGGGCTGGACCTGCCCGATGGGGGCCAGTGAGTATGGATGGGGTGGCTGATGGGCTCAGTGGGCAGCATGGGAATAAGAGAGGAGTTATTTATTGAACACCTAATGTGTGCAATGCAGATGGAACAGGCCTGCCCCGTCTTTCAAGTTATGGTGCAGGAAGAAGATGAGACCCCAGTAACAGCGCTCAGCACAGAGTGGACAGAACAATGAGGGTGGTACATGCTAGGAGCAGTTTTCCAGAGAAAGAGGCCTTTGAAGCAGACCAGGAAAGGAGCGGTTAAGTCTGGGTGTTACTCTACTTCCTACATTCTTACTTCCACTCCTCCCCTCCCAGTCTTACCCATGGCTATATGTCTGATGTCAAGCGGATCTCGGCCACATCCATCTTCTTTGAGTCTATGCCTTACAAACTGAACGTAAGTGAGTGCTCTAGTGTGTGGGGAGTGAGCTACGCAGGGCCCAGGAATCCTCTCCTGGGAAAAGGGAGGGGCTGAGCCCTGGACAGCCTTCAGGGTCAAGGAGGAGAGCCAGTTACCTTGCTTCCTTCTAAGGGCTTTAGCTTTTTGTCTCTCTGTCCAGTCCCAAACTGGCCTCATTGACTATGACCAGCTGGCAGTCACTGCTCGGCTTTTCCGACCGAGGCTCATCATAGCTGGCACCAGCGCCTATGCCCGCCTCATTGATTACGCCCGCATGAGAGAGGTCAGTGGAGGCTGGAGTACCTGCCACTCCCCGAGGGGTGGTGGGGAGACTGGAGGGAAGAGGGACCGCCTCAGGTGGGTCTGTCTGGGCCCTACCCAGACTGAGGCCTGTTTCTGTACCTGCCCAGGTGTGCGATGAGGTCAAGGCATACCTGCTGGCAGACATGGCCCACATAAGTGGCCTGGTGGCCGGCAAGGTGATCCCCTCACCTTTCAAGCATGCGGATGTTGTCACCACTACCACTCACAAGACCCTTCGAGGGGCCAGGTCAGGCTCCCCTGAGACCAGGCCTTGCCTTTCCCTGTCTTCATGCCCTATTTCCAGGGCACCGTTGGGCTGGATCTTAGGGGAACTCATTCTGCCTGAAGAGTTCTACCCAATCTGTGGATTCTTCTTCTCGCTCTTGGTGGCAGTTCCCCGACAAGGGGCTCTGGGGGCCGGAGGGGCAGTCTGCTTCCCTAGACCACTGGCATTAGGCACACCCAGCACAACTGAGCTGGACTCTGAGAGCCCTCAGGGGCCCAGGCCAGCCAGCTTCCTCTGCTCTTCCCATTCCTTACTCTTTCTCTTCAGCTTAGATTCTGACCACCTTCCGCCCATGCAGGTCAGGACTCATCTTTTACCGGAAGGGGGTACGGTCTGTGGACCCCAAGACTGGCCGGGAGATCCCTTACACATTTGAGGACCGAATCAACTTTGCTGTGTTCCCATCCCTGCAGGGGGGGCCCCACAACCATGCCATTGCTGCAGTGGCCGTGGCCCTAAAGCAGGTGGGGAAGTCGCCTCTTGCAGGGAGGCACCCGGTTGCTCAGGCCCTGTACCTTGCTGACTGCAGTTGGAGCCCGTGGGAAGGGGAGGGGAGAGGTCATGGCTGGGGTCACAACGATGCTGGAGGTGGAAGAGTAGGAGGGCAGGACTTGGGGTCCCAGGTGCCACTGCCTCACTTCCAGGCCAGCACCCCCATGTTCCGGGAGTACTCCCTGCAGGTCCTGAAGAACGCCCGGGCCATGGCCGACGCCCTGCTAGATCGAGGCTACTCGCTGGTGTCTGGTGAGCCATGAGGTTGGGTGAGAGTCTGTAGCCTCAGACAGAGGCCCAGGGCTCACCATTCGTGTACTGTCCCCCCCTTAGGTGGCACTGACACCCACCTAGTGCTGGTGGACCTGCGGCCCAAGGGCCTGGACGGGGCGCGGGCTGAGCGGGTGCTGGAGCTTGTGTCCATCACGGCCAACAAGAACACCTGTCCTGGGGACCGCAGTGCCGTCACCCCAGGGGGCCTTCGGCTCGGTGAGACCCCAGGTTCCAGGAGTAAAGGCGGCTGCCAGGTGGGCTTGGGCCGTGCTGATCCTCTTCTGCCTGTCTCTCAGGTGCCCCAGCCTTGACCTCTCGACAGTTTCGTGAGGATGACTTTCGGAGAGTTGTGGGTTTCATAGATGAAGGGGTCAAAATCGGTTTGGAGGTGAAGAGCAAGACTGGTGAGCAGGCGGACGCCCCCTGTGCCAGCCCACCTGCCACCCTGCTCCCTGCCTGCCCTGCCCCCAGTGCTCTGACCGCCTTTCCTCGCCCCTCTCTAGCCAAACTACAGGATTTCAAATCCTTCCTGCTCAGTGACCCAGAGACAAGACAGCGGCTGGCTGACCTCAGACAACGGGTGGAACAGTTTGCCAGGGCCTTCCCCATGCCTGGCTTTGATGAACACTGAAGACACCAAGGAAATGAGGCTCATAGACTGAAATTAGTCCTTCCTCTGCCTGGACCAGTGGAGTGGGTCACCTGTCTTTCAATGTTTTGCTGGAGGAAGGAAGGCCTCTTACTTAGGGGAAGGGCCGGGCATGGTTCCCGCCCCAGCATTTGTAGCTGAAACTTCTTTTTGGAAGATTTAGAAGAAGGAGGCTGGGGGCTTCTTGTCCCCAGTACTCCCGTTATCTCAGTGTTACAGCTTCCTGCCCTTTCTCGAGAATGGGGGAGTTACCCTGTAAGCCAGAGGAAGGTCGGGTAGGCACTTTTTTTTCTGTTTTTAATCTAATAAAATGCTAACCTGACCCAAGCTTCTGTTACTGTGGGAGGGCCCCTGGGCCAGGCCGAGATTCGCCCCCCTCCATGTGTTCCTTCCTTCCCTCCCACCACCACCACCACCACAAGGGCCCCGGAGGCTGCAGCCTCCTCCGTCTCTGATCAGAGCCGACACCAGACGTGATTAGCAGGCGCAGCAAATTCAATTTGTTAAATGAAATTGTATTTTGCCCACGGCTGCTTCTGTTTGATCCCAGGGGACAGAGGGGAGCAAGGAGGGGAGGGATGGCAGGGGGAGGCCCAGGTGTGAGGATGGAGGGGGCGCTGGTTGGCTCCGCAGGCACGGGGGAGGAGCACGCTGCTCCTCCCTGGGCACAGAGGTACCTCGTCCAGAGCAGGCTGGGCGACAGGCAGGGAGCCCAGTGGAGCTAGAGCGGCGCTTCCCTGGGATGGAGCCCAGAATCTGGGCTAACGTGGGGCCAGCCACGTAGCTTGGCACTCAGGCCCCTGCTTGCTCTTGGCTCACCTCTGCCACGCTCAGCACGTAGCCTGCGCCACACCCTACAAGGCATCTGTAGCCGAGCAGAGGGGCCAGCTTGAGCATTTTGGGTCCACCCAGCTGCTGCCCCACCTCTTAATCCACCCCAGCTGCGTGGGACTCAAGCTGAGGGTCAGAGGTGCTTCCGCCGCAGGGAGCAAGGGAAGAGGGTGGGGGTGGAGCTGCCTCCCCTCCTCGTGGGAACCAGGCTTTTGTACTCGGGCTGGGTAGGGTGGGCAGAGTGGTGCCCTGGGGGTGGGTGGGGTGGGGGCATTGGGCAGTGGAAGAAATGAGAAGGCTGGCTTGAGTAGGTACACCGATGTGCCCCAGCTGGGCTCAGAAATCTGGCCGGTCCTTCTTCAGCTTTTTATAGTCCGTGGAGACTGCAAGGAACTATGGAAGTGGGAGGAGGTTGCAATGAGTACCCCAGGCCTCTCTGGGTGCTGAGGGGCCACCCCAGGACCGAGAGTTGAGAGGGGAGGTGCAACACTAGAACCAGTGACGGGTACCTTGTACTGGTCGTTGGGGCTCAGGCGGTTCCAGGGCTCCGGGTTGTTCTTTCTGTCCCAGCTGTGAAGAGGGAGGGTCCGGGTTTCCTCTCTGGGAACTAGGGCTCTAGAGCCTAGCCTAACAGCCAGAGTCTCTGCCTCTACCCCAGCACCCCTCGGCCTGTCCTACCCTGGCGGCAGGGTGCGGGGGGGGGGGGGGTCATCCATTTCCCTGAGACTGACAGGGAACAGGAGTGTTAGTTGCTGACAAAACAAGAAGGCTGTCACCATTTTCAGATGAGGACAGATGAGGGATTGACAGCCCGGCCCAGGGACTCTCACCTGCCCCTTGCCACCCTTGATCACGCCGGCAGAGTACAGTAGTGGGAATCAGGCAAAGATCCCCAGGGGCTGGGTTTTCTTTGATAAGCCTTGAATTCTGACAACGAAGGGCTGCTCCTGACAGGAGCCCCCCACCCCTCACTCTGCTGCCTCTGGCCTGGCAGTAGAGTCTCCTGGTCACCCTGGCCGAAGGTGCCCCCAGACACTCAGCTGGCTACACCCCCAGCACTCCAGGGTGGATATTGAGGTAGCCAAAGGCCGATGGCCGCCGGCAGAGTGGCGTCGCCTTGGCAACCGGGTGGGGAGCCGGGCTTGGTTGGCAGCCACAGGGGAGAGTGAGGTCCGGTGGGCCGAAGGGGAATGGGCTCTCGAAGGTTAGGAGGATGTTCCAACCCCATGATGCAGGGCAGGGGCAGGTGCGTTGCAGGGGGATCCCGGCCCAGCACCCATTCCCGCCGTTCCTGAGAGGCCCACTCCCCCCTGACCCTTCCCGCCCCGTCCAGGACCCACGTCAGCACCCCAAGCCCAGCCTTTACCAGACGTCCGGGCTGCGCAGGGCCAGCCGCAGCAAGTAAAGAGCAGCGCTGCCCATGCCCAGGCCAATGAAGCCAATCATCGGGATGAGCTGCGGGAAAGACCCGAGGACACTTTCAGAGTCGGCCCCTCCCCATAGTTTCCAGTTGCCCGTTACAAGATTTCCTGCCCAGCCGCCCTAACCCCCGCCGGGGCACTGGCGCCCCTCCCTTCTGGGAGCGGGGACCTGGCACCTCACACACCACAGCTCCTGCCTTCGTCCCCCAACCCCACGGCGGGCCTGTCCGAGGGGGGTTCAAGGGGCACGGGTGCATACTGCAGGGAGAGTTGAGGGCACCCTGGAAAAAGGTGAGCAGCTCTGGGGAAACTAGGCGGTGGGAGGGGACTCAGAGAGTTGGGGGCTGCTTGGTCAGCGAAAAAGTTAAGAGCTATAATCAGTGGCTCCGGGGGCCCAACTCACAGCGGGATGTCTCTTGATCTGCCGATAGAGACGGGTCCCCAGACTGGTTCCCGCCATATCGCCTCTCCAGCGCCTGGTCCTCTCCAGCGGGCTCTGCTCCGCTCCCTCGCTCCTCCTGGGGTCCCGCCCCCGGCTGGGGAGGGGTCAGCCCAGCCCGGCCGGGCCCAGCCCACCGCACCGACTCACCCCAACCCCACCCACTTCTTTTCCTCCCTCAGCTCCAGGCTCGGAGCGGGAAGAATTGTTGGGGACCTAAGGGATTTCTGTCCCTCCACTCTTTCCTACAAATGCCTGGATCCTGGCCCATGGAACACCATCATACTTGAGGTTTTAGGCTGGTCGGAGGGAGAGGCCTCACGGGCTTTTGATCCAGATTGATTGACAGAGGATTCAGCAGCAGGGGAGGGACCCGCCGTGAGACAGACTGGCGGACAGACCTCCGGAAAGTGCAGATGTGAAAGTTCACTCGCGGCACCAGGAGGGGCGGGGGTGGGGCGGGGAGCGAGGGCGCCGCGTTACTGCCCTGACCACCCTGGAGCAGCGATTTCCAAACGATGTGTTTGTGGCACACTGGTGTGCCACATTTTGTTTTGTTTTTCTTTTCTTGTGTTCTATATTTATTTTTGTACTTCTGCTGCAACAATCTTTAAAACATGCAATACCTGACTGGTTAGGGGGTTTGAGCTCTTTTCCCTTAGATTGTCAAGTAAAAAACAATGACAACAACCAACACAACAATAGCCCTCTAGTGTGAATGAATCAAAATGGTACCTATTTTTTTTGTCAGATCAGCAAAAAATATATATTACTTGGTGCGCCGCAGAGTTTTCCTAATTAGTTATGTGTGCTGTGAGATGTAAATGTAAAAAAAAAAAAAAGCCATTCTAGAGCATCCAGGAGCTAGCAGGCCTTGGTCTCCCTGGTTCTGTCCCCACCACAGTGCAGCGGAAGGAGGAGGGTGACAGGCAGCCCAAGAGAACTAAAGCTGCCCCGGCCCCTGTCATCTGGGTGGTTTTGCCAAGTCGTGTTGTGGTTGACCTGGAGCAGCCGTTGGAGGCCGAGGGGACCCAGGGGTATCTTAAACCTGGCTTGGTACAGAATAAATCTTGCTTGCCCTGCCTATCTTGGATAGGGATGAAGGTGGAGCCGCCCACGAAGGCCACTCTTCTGGCTGTGATGGAGAGGGGGAGAACGGGGTGAGGAAAACAGTTAAGGAAAGATAGACAAGATGTTGGAGGAGGAAAGGGAACGAGACACACGGAAACAGGTGGGGAGCAAATGACCGATTGCCACCCTTTCTGCAGCAAACTCAGGTGTATGCAATGTTGCCAGGGTGAGAAGGCTCACTGACTCATCTTTGGGGAGCTGAGTTCCAGGGACCAGGAGCCCCCCCAACCACTTCTCCCACTCCCATGCTAACCTCCCCACTATGTCTCCCTGCCTCCCCCTGGACAGCCGGATCCTGCGGCTCCCCATCTCTCCCCTCGAGATCCCTGTGGTGGCTCGGGCAGGAGTGAACTGTGCACCCACCACTGGGACACTCGGGGTGCAAGGAGTGAAGGGGCCCTGCCTGGGGGGTTCCTTCCTTTCCCTGGCGCTGATATGGGCCCGGTCCCCTGCTCTGACAATTGCCACTGTCATTAGGCTGCAGAGTCCCAGGTTCTCCGCCTCCCTCCGGGATAATGAGATAAAGTGTCAGAGACAGGGCAAGACAAAGAGACAGAGACTTGCTACAAGGGGCGTGTGGGGCGGGGGAGGAGGAAGGAAGGGCTGTCAGAGCCCGGAGCCGCGCAGAGTCCGGCCCGCCCTGAACACTAGCACTACAGGGGCCGTGGGGTGGGCTGTCCTATCACCGGTACGCCCTAGCGCTCCTGACTCTGGAACTAAAAATCAATCCTGGAACTCCCAGGATTTCGAGGGGCCACACAGTCGGGCTGCACATCTGGCTCTATATGGCATAGCTGGTGCACCAGGACCCTGGCAGGGACGTCTAGCCCCTGCGCCGCGGCCCGTTTGCTTCTCCGGCCCTCGCCTGCTGTCCAGTGTCCTTTCTTGTGAGTTCCGACCTAGCACGTCCCGGACCCTCGGCCCCACTCCTTCCGTAGAGCCGCTGCCTCGCATCCTCCAGCCTCGGGCCTCAGCCCCACTCTCCGATGACTGCTTCTGCTCTGGCCTCTCTGGGGCTCCTTGACCTTTCACCTGCTTCTGGTGTTAGTCTCTGGTCCCTTCTTTGTGACCCTATTTCTAAGCCCCATCCCATCTCCGGGTCAAGGTCTCTAGGGCCGAGCTGGGACACAACTTTTGGGTTCCAGACCCCATCTCTTCCCTCACTTTCCCACCAGAAGGACTCAGGCCGAGCTGACCCAGCGGGTGAGGGACTGCAGAAGCCATTAACTGTGGATTAGGCATGGCCAGGGGTGGGCGGGCATCCCACTGGGACCGGACTCCGAACACTGTACCGCGCAGGACACTACTCCGCGTGCAGGCGGCGCCTCTGGTCAAAAGAAGCTGGAGTCGGCGCTGCGAGCTGACTGCAGGGGCCGTGGGCGCGGACGCCCCCTGAAGGCCGAGCCGCTCTTAAGCTCTCAGGGGAGGTGCCTCGGTCGCCCCCTATAGGGCCGCGTCGGCTCTGCGCCCCGCGGCTTTTCCGCAGGTAAGTCAGCGCCTAGAGTGTGGGTCCCCGCGGGGTCCGCGGTTCCTGCCGCTCCCGCGGCCGAGGCAGTGGGTCCCGCAGTGGGCCGGAGAGCAGACGCGGCAGCTCCTGCTTCGCCAGTCCCAGGCACCAGAGGTTCAGACTGGGTCCCCTCGTGAGGCTGGGCAGCCGCAGATGCCCCGGCTCCATATCCGCCCAGAGACTGCCCTCTGCCCTTGCCTGTCCTAGTCTCTAGCCCTGTCCTGCCTTTTTCTTCCTCAGGCCCCGTCTGCCTCCGTCTATCGCTGTGTCTCCGTGTCTGTCTGTGTCTCTCTGTTCCTTGTCATTCTGGCTGTCTCTTTCCCTCTGCAGCTCTCTACCTGGCTTTGTCCTTCTGCATGTTTCTCTGTGTCTCCGTTGACTCTCCGTCACTCTACTACTCTGTCACTGCCTTTATCCGTCTCTTCCTCCTCCCGTTCACCAGCTCCAGTCCTATTCTCCGCCTTGCTGCTCCTGGGGGGCTGTAGCAGTCCAACGGGACAGCCTGGGGACACCTCGGGGCATTGCCTGGTGTCTCCTTCCCGGCCACCTCCACATGTCCGTCACCTCGGCACGGCCTCCATCTTCCCTCTGCAGCCGTGGGGACTGGGTGGAGGATACTCAGGAGGGAAGACACAGTGCCCAGTATCTGTCTGCTCGGGAGCCCTGGGGCCCCTGACCCTCTACCGCTATTAAGGGCGCCGGGTCCCAAGGCTCTGAGATGATCATGATTGCATCAGCCAAACAGCCGAGGAGCCGGCAGCCGCTCAGAGAGTGAACGAGCGAGCAAGACAAAGACGCCCGCGCCATCTGTTTATGCAAAGCGCTCTCCACCGGGAACCCTGGCGTCCCGATGCTTGGCCCGGCTCGGGCCACAGGGTCGTGAACCCGCTCCTGCCTGGCGCCCCCTCTGCTTCGCGGCTTACCCCCCTCGCCGCACCCAGAGGGGCTGCGGGGCGAGCGGAACGAAGGGGGGCGGGGGTGTTGATGTGATTGGAGCGGACGCGGCTGTTTCTTCAATAATGGATGGAGATGATGCGGACGGCGGAGCCAAGCCCGCCCGGAGAGGAGAGAGGAATAGAAATCGGGAGAGGAAGTGGCGGGGGCGGCAGGCGCAGCCAGGCGCCGCGCGCACGCACACACACGCACACACACACACACCAGCGCGCGTGCGTCACACTGTCATTCGACTACACGCCGCTGTGCAGTTCACACCCAGGCACACACCCACACACTGTCACAGAAACACACACCTGCAGGTGGAGATGCCAGAGCAACACACTCACCAGAGGCTCTTCCTGATTCTCACACACGGTCCTGCACACCGAGACCCGCGGAAATGCCTACGCACGGGGCACATCCAGGTGTGAAGAATGCACAGACACGCCAGAGCACACATGCACACTTAGACACCTAGGGGCTTAGACAGACAAAAACCGTAGAGGATGGAATCGGGTACAGAATGGTGACAAGACCTACAGATACACAACAGGGACACACCCCCCCAACATATACATACCTCACACATTTGGGGCACAGACGCACACGCTACACACTAGAGGCATAGACACCCGTCATCACCAGGGGCACAGATAGCCACACGTGTGTCGCAGCTGCTGCCTGTGCCCTGTGGTGGCGCAGTGTGGCAGAGAAGTCACTGGGGTCCCTACTAGCTCCTCTCGTTAGCCTAGCCATGTAATGATGTCCTGACGACAGGAGGCGCCTGGGGCTGTTGGCCCCTCACCCTATTTGACTGCCTGCAAGCTTCCTTTCTGGGCCCCCGGGGCAGGCAGTGCAGTCTTGGGGCCACCCTGGTTTCATCCGACCAAGCTGGCTGCAACCCCAGCAGCTGGGGGGAAGAGCAGGGGCCGTAGAGAGCCAGTGGCAGCTGTATAGGGCGTCTCCCAAGGTCCCCAACATGTCCAGGAGGCAAGGGGTGGACAACAGTGTCACTCCGTATCCCCCTCATGCCCTGTGCTGCCCGATCTTCTGACACAAGGGGCACTTTTCTCGCTAAGAGTTGGGCGGGCGCTGAGAAAGAGTAGGGTGGCGATTGCGACCAGGACCCTAGTAGGCCGCCCCCCCCTCCCCTCTGTTTTCGATGCAGTCCGCTCCTTGGCCCGGACTTATGACCTTTGCAGCGCGAGGCAGCATCATCCATCACCCAGGCGGCCGCTTTCCGGAGTAGGGGCGTTGGGGTTGTCTTCCCAACACCCCACAGGGTCACTGTCTTCCCAACGCCCTCTCCTGAGACCAGCTCTGCGCCAGCCGGCCGGGGAGCAACCAGCAGGCCGCTACTGGGGGCGGGGTTGGGGGGCACGACCATGGGGCTCAGCCGCGATACTGGGGGCCTTGTAGCCCCACCCCCGGCACCCCAGCACCCATCCTTCCGGCTCAGCACAGCCAGCCTCCCCGCTCCTCCTGCCCTCCCTCTCGGGCCCTTTG